GCATATTTAGAAAACATGTCAATAGACGTAAGTGAATACTTAAATTGATTGCTATATTGACTTAGGATAGAAAGATCTACTATATCATCAATCCCAGAAATTATCACTTGGTTTCTTGAAAATTTACATCTTACAGGTTTGTGTACGGCATATGTGTCCTGATGACTTAACCACTCTTTGATTTGTTTTAGAGTGATGGATTGACCTAATGCTTTCACAGACCTAGATTAAAGATGTACTTCACCCTAACTGACAGGATGTGTAGGATTATAATGGAGATTTTAGCATTTGATCCACATTAAACATTATTTACTATGCCCATACCATTAACTTTGATTTAATTTACCATCAACTTTGTCTCTAAAATTAGCAATAGTTCGACCTTCACAACAGGCAATATTAACTCTTAGACAGCTCAAAATAGTACTAAGCTTCAAAGGCTGACAAGAGTCCATGATGAGAGTCAAGAAACAAATGAATAAATAATACAATACCACTTTATTAAAAATTAACCCATTTAGATACAGAACATGTGCGAGTTTTAACACGTGTATCTTGTTTAATATACATCTATCTGTCTACATTTCCCACAACTTCTTGGGGAATATTCGTACATGATAATCGTTCTGCAAATGCTTTTCATGCAGTAGTATTAACGTCTTTCATTTTTATAGTACATCATTGATCAGGTCAATTGTGTTACTGTTTGAGATCGATCTTCCACTAATCACTGATCCACGATCATTTCACATTAAATCTGCACTGGAACATATGAAGTTTAATAGGATTTTGGCTTTCTTTTTATATTTATGATGAATGCTGTCGAGGATCTCTAAATTTTCATCAGTCAGTGATTCGATTTTAATTTTAAGCGGATCTACAGCTTGCAAAGGAAAGTTCTGATGATGTTTTTGCAACTGGTTTATAATTTTTGCTTTATCAACTATAAGTAACATATAATTTTGTATGACATAATTGATATCATGATCTATAGAGTTTATTACTTTATGCCCTGGTCTTTCATAAATTTTGGGTTCATAAGTTGAGGATACCAGTTCTTCAGGAAGAAAAATCATTCGTTTTATATGTTCCATATTTAAATTCCAACAGCTTTACCAATAACCCGTCCTGCCAAACCATCAAATATTGAAAGTATTGGTGTTACGAGTTATGATAGAACCCTCCTTTCTGTATTGGTAAGTTTATTTTCTGTTTAACTGATGCTTTCTTGACAGATAACTCTTCCAACAATGACTAGTACTATCTAAGTTTCTGGTTTTGCATGCTTGTCATTGGGACACTACTCTTCAAAACATTTAAAACACATTCACAAATGCACACGATAAAATAATTTTCAGTTCTGGCAATTATATCTTTAATCTGTTTATGTGTTGTTTTAGGTAATGTGCAGAGCAACACTTCATGATGAATGAATGAAAATAGAATGCATGTACAACATATAAAACTTTATTTATACATCTATTTAGGTATAACATCTACTTTTTTACACTACAATGATAGCGAATGTTAATATGAAATGGACACTGTAGAGTAGATTGTGGAAGTTGATTAACCCTGATATCCAGATTATAGCAAGGAATTTTAAACAGACATCTCAATATCTTGGCAACTCCCCCTTTGTATAAACAGTGGTAAAGTTCTTTCTTAACAATCTAGTCGCACTTCCCAGGTAGGGATAGTCGATGTTTTTACTTTTCCAGGGGATGTGATGAATGTAACAAGTTACTCATTCACACTGGTGATATTTGTATTTGAAAGAAATTCACCCAAAAACAACTGTTTAAACAAAAACATACCCAAAATATATCCAGTAGCTAAACATTTGGATGCAAGTTCTTTAATTACATATGATCTGTCATTCAAATTAAATCCTTCTAGTTCTACCATGACCAAAGTCAAAATAATAAATTAGTAGATATTCAATGGAACATCAGTTTTAGATTACTTTGGTGCATACACTATACATATATCTTCAGAAAATGCTCCATCCTTAGGCATATTTTCTCTGGCACTTGCAATGACTAAGTAGCCAAATGACCCATTGCATGATATGCCTATTCAAAGTATTTGATAAATGTCAGAAACATTTGTCTCACTAAAGCATTCAACTGAGATTTGTCTCCGACATTCTTGAACATTATAATGTATTGGAAGTTTAAACTAATATTAAACATGTGTCTACCCTAATGAAATAAATTCTATACAATATAAAACACTGATAAATTGAAATAGTGACTCCCAAGTGTAAAATGTTAAGGCATTCGTTTATTTTCGTTTGTCAATGATGAAAATAACTGGTTTATTAGACTGTAAATAATCATAAAATGTTTCAGACAATCCTTTGACAAATTGAATGTTAGGAATATTTTGCGTTCATTTAGTATACAGAGGTTGAAGTTCACCACTAGACCACACGATAGTTTTAGGAATAGGATAGATAACTTGACAATAATAGGTTAAAATTTTGCTTACAAACTGTAATTTGCCACTTCATGTTGGACCTGACACTAAACAAATAAAAGGGTTTTGTAGACAGTTATCCATTTCAAAGTGTAACGAGAAGTAAATGGAACAGGACTCAACTTATATAGACCTGAAAAATCATGTTTTAACACATTTTGGAGCTTCCCTTTAAGGCCTTGACATGCTCTCTTTTCAGCCTGTAGACCATGGTGAGGAGTTAGTTCCATTAAATTAAAAATTCAATATCCCTATGGCTGAGTACAAAAGTCTGGAAAGATGTGTCATTTTTATTTTATTCCTTGTTGGAAATGGTCCAAGTATTTAAATCTCTACATATCTTCTTATGATTTGTCACCATTATAGGATGCTGAAAAGGAATGAATATATCTCTTATCTTACTCTTCATTGTTGAGAAGCTTAATTTTTTGCTGTTGATAAAATTCAAAGTAAACAGGACTTTCCATCGTCATATATGTACTCATAGTTCTTGGCACCACCATTGACTCAAAATGTGATGTAATAACTCCCAATCTCGTCTGTAAATTCAGCAATATAATTACCTAGAAGTGGAGATTGTTAGTTCCACCTGAAATATAAACAATTATATCTGTATAGAATACAATACAGACGAACCCAACTTCTCAAGCATGTGGAAAAATTTTAGACGAGTGTGAGAAGTGATGAAAGCCATCGGAAAAATGGTGGTTAGTTTTTTCTGGGGCAGATACTCATGGTTTGTTTCTTCAATGAGGAGGAACTACTTCATTATGAAACAATGTAACATCTGATATTATCTTGGTTTTATCATTCATTAAAGATTAATACTCTTCCATGCTAGAGCATTTAATGTCACATGATGTCTGAAAAAAACATTTCAATTCTGTCAAAATGTGTCGGAAAGAAAGCTGTTATCTAAACTTAGATCGCACAAAAATATTGATGAGACATTTTTTTAATAATTTTGTTGCAAAACGTTTTCATGTAAATATGTCTTAATAAATATGTTTTCTTTTATGTAGATCAGATTGCAGAATCTTTATTGTAAACAAATATTTGTGTCAAAATGAAATATTTGTCAAGAACTTTTTATTGTTATACTAAACTTTATTATATACAATAAGTAAAAAATACAATCAGCTATATTAGCTGTCTCGTTCAAATAATAGTTTTACTTGTAACTTTTAAGGACATATGATTAAATATATAAGTGAAACTATAAAGTAAACATAAGTTTATATACTGTATGATGATCTCCTATGGAACTATAGTAACACTGCAATTGATAAGACCATCTTTTATAAAACCATAGTAACACCATTTGCCTTTAGAAACACTCCCATAGTAACACTATTCAACCTATAGAAACATTGCCTTTAGTAATAACATTCACCCCTAGAAGCACTAATCTTAATAACACAAACTACCTTCTGTACCTTAGAAACACTGCCCTTAGTAACAACATCCGCCTATAGAAACACTTTCCTTCGTAACACCGTCCGCCTACAGCAACATACCCTCTGGTGAGTAACACTTGAACTACGATGTCATCCCGCCCCCAGCAATGCGCTTTCTGCTGCCACTTCGTGGAACTATGACGTCTACGTCCAGCCCCGCCCCTATCGTCTCAGGTAGCTAATGAGCGAGTGGCGGCATCCTTTGGATAAAAGATTGCTGCCCTAACTATTAACGTGACGATACTGAGTCTGTAGAGCAATATGTTAAAAAGGCAACTGTTTTTCTTGCATTATTAATTTCAACTTCGCATTAACACTTTGTGTCTGAAGCATCAATATTGACATTGAATGTTAATATATTCAAAATATGTACTGCTGTAGATGCTAGGTTTATTGTTATGCAGTCTGTTACAGAAAGAAGCGGATTCTTGAGTTTAGTGATTTTGTTTCAGAACAAAGCCACATTAGGCTATCTGATGCGTCTACTGTGAGGAATCGAACCTTGAATTTTACCATAGTATATCTGTACAATTACCGCTGTCCCACCGTAGGACGTGTAGGTTCTAATAACAGCAAAATAACTACTTTTCCACGTGTTTGTTGTAATTACCTTGATAGCTAGAACTACTTATGTTTAAAAAATAGATCTTTTAAAGTGAATTTAATATGTAGTTCTGGGAAATAAAGATTACGCATATGAAACAAAATTCATTACACCGTTATAAAATTAATAAAAAAATACGTATTAAGTTCTCCCAAATATTTGAAATAAATTTAACTAGCAGAAAGTTACTAGCACAGCATCTCCAGACTAATTTATTTTTATTTGTGTCTCATTAACATTTTGTTTCTGAAATAATATTTAGTATGCACGAAATTATGAGAACATACAGTATTTTTGCCAGTCTTTTACTGCCATAGTTATATATATATTATCAATAAACAAATAGTGCATTTCTCAATATTAAAAGAATAACATATTTTATGATTAGTTATTTCACATAATTATGCACGAAACATGATGTTTATGTATATTTTGTGACAGTTAGTTTTGTGTTTTAGTTCAGCAATGTCATGTTTGCCCAAAGCGAGCTGGGAAAGACCAAGGAGCAGCTAGCCGCTGATAAAGAACTATGCATGCAGTACCGTGTGAAACCGCTTGAGATCGAAGGGTTAAGTATAGACGAACTTCGTCAGAAGGCCAATGAACTTTGGAATAAAATTTGTACTCTGGAAAGCGATAAGTATGACTTGGAAGAGCGTCAAAAGCGACAAGAGTACGATGTGAGTTAGACAAATTATTTTTTCAGTTCTGAAGTCAACCTCTGTAATATGTGTTTACTTTTTTAATTTTAAAGAGTGTATATATATATATATTATTGGATTTTGTACTTGTGTTTCTTACACGGGCTTAGAGATATACCCATTTCATAGGTACAACGAGACTGTTAAGAAAATATGTTTGAACCAGTACGTGTTTATTGTGCTGTCATCTATGGGAATAAAATACAACTAAATGTTTTATATTAGTATTTGTTAGTCATCATATTTAACACTAGAGTGCGCACTTTTGTCTCAGTCAATGAGAGACGCAACGTTGATATGGGAAATCCAAGATGGCGTCTTAAGCGTGCAACGAAGTGAGAAGGAGGAAGAGGTTGAGAGCGTACCTGATCCTCCCAGGTCCACAATGACAAAAAAAAGAAAAAAAGAAAAAATGGTACCGACCGATCGAAATGAGAAGCGTAAACAAACACATGTGTATAACAGCACTGTAAAACTGCCGGTGAATTTTATCGTCAAATATTTACCCATAAACTAAATATAAGTAATTCTTGCCTGAGATCAGGACGTGTAGTTCACTTACAGTCGAAACTAATGTAATTTCTCCACAGTTCAACTTCAGCAGATCCAATTGTTCCTTATTTATGAGATTCTGTTCTTTAACTTTTCTGTTCTGTGTATAAGTTTTGATATTGTTACATCTCTTTTCTTCACCCTGTGCTTAACTACTTTCACTTTTTTTACGTGCATCTTGAAGGATCTGCTGCCAAACATTCAGTCTGTTTACTAGAGAGACAGGACTGACACAGTGGTCGTATTCCGGGCAATCCTTCGCTCTAGCCACTAACAATATGAGGTCATTCAGCAGTTGTTGGGCCAACAACATCGGCGTTCCTTTGTATCGGTCGTCTCTTCTACGATAAAGTCTCCATTTTCTGTTTGTGTTCAGGTGCATAGTAAACACGGTTGGCACAGCAGAATAATGAAGAACATGTTTAACGACCCTGGTGTTATCCTGTGATGCATGCTTGAAATACCACTAGCAATTAATTTGTAAATGAAATGTTGACATTAAAGTGATAAATTCATAACTGTGAGATTACTAGTAAACCATCAGGATTATATGTTTGCGGTATACAGTAAACTTGCTTTGACATAATCTTCCTTGACATAATCTTCCTTGAGGGAGTGTTCCTTGTGGTTTGTAGTAGAATGTATAATTATTTCTGCTGACACTCACCAACCATTCTGTGTAGAGATCGCAATTATTTAGAAGAAACTTGATAACACATAGTCGTATTTAAGATTCCCAAGGGTTTATTTTATTATTTATTTTTGCCAACTATTGAATTTAATTATGCTATTGGTTTGGTTGATATCTTTGAAACGTAAATGTTGCTACCTAACAAGCTTGATAATAATATTTATAAATATACTAAGATAATGTAATTAACCACATATGCCCCCC